AAGTGGTGCTGTGGCTCAAGTGGTAGAGCGCTAGCCTTGAGCTGAAGAGCTGAGGGACAGCGCCCAGGCCCAGAGTTCAGGCCCCACAACCGGAAAGAAAAAGAAAAAAGATTACTGAATTGAGATTTTCCTTTAAAAAATGATGGAGTCCTGTTACTTTTCTCAGGCTAGTCCCAAACTAATTTGAGTGAGTCTCCTGCCTCTGGAGCTGGGACGACAGGCATATAGCACTGCCCTTAGTTTTGATAGTCCTCCTTTTTATAATATAGGCATTTATAGATAGAAATTGATATCAAAATGTTTTCTCATTTTCATTTTATTTTTTTTACCATTTGTTTTTTTAGGAATGTGGTGTTTAATTTTCACACATTTGTGAATTTCCCCAATTTCTATGATTGACTTCTTACTTATTTCTTTCTTATGGTTCTGGGAATCAAATCCAGTTCTCTGCACCTGGGTTAAAGCAAGTGATCTATGCTTGGGCTACAGCCCCAGTCACAAAAGAAAGAGCTGTATTTGCTCTGTTTTGCAGTGCTGGGGTTCAAACCCAGACCTTTCACATGCTAAGCGAGTACTCTACCATTGAGCTACATCCCTAGTCCCTTTGTTATTGATTTCTATTTCATCTTGTTTTGGTCATTATTGGGCATGCAAATAATCACCCTGGAACATTAGTTGTTTTAAAAGCTCTGACTCTCCCCCTATTCAGTCTAAGGTGTCTGCTTGTTTTTGGTATTACAGCCTGTTCATTAGGCTGCACTAATTACTTGCCACTTGCTTTATTGTTTTCATCAATGCTCTGAGGCACAAATTGCTCAGCTGTCTTACTGACTTAAATTCAGGCAAGAATAGTTTTTGAGGCCAGTCTATAAGGTTTGTCTGTCCCTAGGAGGGATCTTAATTGTTCTTTCTCTGGTTCTTCCTGATGAGTTGGCTCAGTTATAGTTTACTTTCTTTCTCTAAGATAAGGGACTTGTTTTCTAGGACATACCTAGGTTTGGACTTTCCTGTACCCTGTTTGAAATAAAATTTCCTTTGAAGAGAGCTTTTCAGCTCCCTTTTTATGGATTAGTTCTCTGGAAATAATATCTCTGAGCCATTAGGCCCTGGGAAATATGGAAGCTTCTAGTGTTTGGGTGTACTTTTCAGCATGGAATCTCTGCCCAGTGAGATTGCTAGGGCAGATAGTCATGGCCGCAGTGTTCTCAGCCAGTTGCAGCTGAGTCACAGCCCTTGTACTATGAATGAGGCCTGTTACATGGAAAAAGGAAGTCTGAACCTTTAGCCATACTCACCAGGAAGGAGCAGGTTCATGGCTCAAGTGCATAGACACTGTTTTAGTAGATTGAGGGGGTTTTCTGATGGTTAATTGGAGATAAGCATCATGGACTTTGCTGCCTGGGCTGGCTTTGAACTGTGATCCTCAAATCTCAACCTCCTGAATAGGTAGGATTACAGGTGTGAGCCACTAGTGCCTGGCAAGATTTATTAACATCTACTATACTAGGTGATAGGCAAAGCCAGAGAATAGACAAGTAAAGATTTCAAGTTTCTGGCTAGGAAGGTGGCTCAGTGGTAGAGCGCTTGCCTTGCATGCCTGAGGCCCTGGGTTCTATTCCTCAGCACCACATAAGCAAAAAGAAAAAGCCGGAAGTGGTGCTGTGGCCCAAGTGGTAGAGTGCTAGCCTTGAGCTGAAGAGCTGAGGGACAGCACCCAGGCCCAGAGTTCAGGCCCCACGACCAGACCCCCCCACAAAAAAAAAAGATTTCAAGTTTCATGCTTTAGAAAAGTTCTTCATCCTTCATGTAAAGGATCACATTCCTCAGAAAAAGCCTTCTTCTAAGACCCTTCATCTCTACACTAGTAACTAAGGACAGAATAAGAATACAGTAAGGCCATATATTAGCTAAAGGATGCTGCATTTATTTACTGTCAATTATTCTCCCTTTATTTGTACTATAGGGAAAAGGAAATATAGAAAACTAGAGTGGGGTTTAGTCAACAGGAATCCAAGAGTAATGGTAGGAGTAGCACTTGATAAAATGAGTGAAGAATTATCAGAACTTTCTGGTGATTTTTGCTAATCACATATTTTCTTCTCCATTTCTTCTCATTTTTCTTTTCCTTTTTTTTTTTAAAGGAAAACCCTGAAGAAAAGGCAGTAAATGTAGACACTATTCGGGTAAATAAATTTATCTTTATCCTGATCAGAGATTTTATGTAGATAAATTCATCCAAAGATTTAATATCTTTCCTTTTATCCAAATATTAACTCTGCTGCCTCTACAAAGTCAAAGTGAAATGTTTGCCTTCTGGAGTCATTCCAGTGACTTTTTTTTTCTGAACCCGGGGCTTGAACTCAGGGCCTGGGCCCTGTCCCTGAGCCTCTTTGTGCTCAAGGGTAGCACTCTACCCCTTGAGCCACAGTGCCACTTCCAGCTTTTTCTGAGTAGTTAGAGGTAAGAATCTCATGGGCTTTCCTGCCCAGGCTGGCTTTGAATCATGATCCTCTGGTCTCAGCCTCCTGAGTAGCTAGGGCTACCAGTGTAAGCCACTCACACCCAGCTCCAGTGACTTTTATTCTTCACTCTCTCTGGGAGGTAACTCCATTGTTGGATGTTTGGTGTTGTGAGCATGAACTGCTCATATGAAGCATGATGGTAGTCATGAGGCTGATTTAACAAAATACTATGCAGTTGGCCCATTATTATAGAAATGCCTGCTGTGTACATACTGCAGGCAATAATAAAATAATGCCTGCCACTGCGTTATCTATTGGGATGTTAAATGTCTAGGGCATAAGATAATGGCATATTTCCATTTCACAATATTTTGTTCAGTTGACCAGATAATTTTTTTACCAATATAATTAAAGAGATATTTAGTCCTTGAACTATAGGTACTTTCTGGTTTGAATGAATGTTACTCCGCCCTTCTGGGCATGCTTTAACTGGATGTATCCAGATGCTGTGAACTTTTCCCAGGGAAATAGAGACTAAGTATACATACTCAGTAAATAATTTTCCTTTCTCTTTACCTACAGGGACAGAAATGGAATAAGTATTTGGACTATTTATTTTCAGAAGGGTTACAAGGCTTGAAACTCTTCATACAAAGTAGTGTTCAACGTTTTTATGCCCCCCAGTAAGAGAGTATAACCAAAGTGATCGACATTAAGTGAAAGTTGATGATTTCACTGTTTTATAAACTGACTGTTGTCTTCAAGTATTACCCAGTCCTGTCTTCTAATGAAAAATGCCCTCTTCCTCGCCAGAGGCTCTTTCCATCATGAAGAGTCACATCTGCTCTGGGGTGAGCTTTGTCACATTCCCATGTACTGTATAAGTTGCATTGCTAAAAGATAACAGGTAATGCATAGTAGCAGTTAACCTACATGCACTTATGCCAACCATTTGGCCAGCTGCTTCTTTGAAATCTCCAGGATATTACTACTTTGTTCAATGAACAGCAGCACCAGTATCAAATGAATGGCATATAACACATGGGATTTGCAAAGCCCTTCTGATGAGGGAAGGAAGTAGAAACGATTGTCAGGAGAGTGAAGAAGACATTTCTGTTTATATTGTTTTGATTTCATGAAACTGTTCTATTTTATTTTATTTGGGTATATATCTATATGCCAAGTTTTTAAATGTTGAGGCTTAAACTAATTACAGCTTTGCTATTAGAAGTAATTCTGAACTTTAAAAAAAATTGATAGCAGCAGCTAGAATACCCTGCTGAAAATTTATACTGAAATTTTGTTTTAGTATTACGGAATAGCTCTCTTCTTTTTAAATAAAATTGACGTAATTTTAGTAGAATGAAGCTGAATTTGTCTTTTAAGACCAGATCCTTTTTCTTTTTCCCCCCTTTCCATTAAAACAAAAACTGTATTATTAAATGTTCAGACTAGAAATCCTATACATCTACTCATTTATTGAATTAACATTTGTTGAGTTTCTTACCATGTGCCAGGTTCTTTTTTTTTTTCCTGTCAGCTGTGGGGTTTGAACTCTGGGCCTGGGCACTGTTCCTCAGCTCTTCAGCTCAAGGCTAGCACTCTACCACTTGAGCCACAGCACCACTTTCAGCTTTTTCTGTTTATGTAGTACTGAGGAATTGAACGTAGGGCCTCATGTATGTGAGGCAAGCACTCTACCACTGAGACACTTTCCCAGCCCCTGTATTAGGTTCTTCTGTGTGCTAGTTTTATACCTGCTTTTATATTGCTTAGAATCCAATGAAGACAAACAATAACAAGCTAAGCAAACATTTCATACTAGGTGCAATTCATAAAATGCCTAGAATAGGGATAGACTTTGGAGAGGCCTGGTACTGCAAATAAGAAGGCTTAGAGAAGACCTGTTTGAGGAGATGATGTCAGCACAGACACTAGTGAAGGAAGCATATGATCCAAGTGTCTATTTGGGGAAAGGGCATTCTGAGAAGAGGTAAAGTCAAAGGAAAAAGCTCTAAAATGTTGATTTACAAGGTAGATTTAAGGAGTAGCAGGAGGTCAGAAAGATTATAGTACAATGATAAAGTGAGAAGAAGGGTGAGAAATCAAATAGGGAAGAAAGCCAGAGACCATGTCATGAAAGATTATTACAGCCTGGTACAGATGTGTAAATGTAAGCCATTAGAGCCACTGAGAAGAAAGACATATATGAACATACAGATGTAGAATGAAAGCTACAGGATTTCAGGGGCAGGCATAGAGACCAGTTATTACCACATTTTAGCCAAAGGTTTTAGATCGGTATCAGAGGTGATCAGGGAGGTGGTTGGGTATTAGTTGCAGACTCTTATTTTGAATTTACCAAAATTTGAATCTGCTGGTAGCTTGGTTATGAGGAGGAGGATATCCTACATGTTTCCTAGGTGACTCTAAATCTCTCTTAGGTGTCTCTAGATTTTTGACCTGATTAGCTAGGTACATTCTGAAATTCAGAGATGAGGCATACTAAAGGAATAACCAAAGCATTTGTTGAAATCACCTAGTGCAACTAGAGGAAAGTGGTAGAGATGCTAACATTAAGAAACATGCTAACATTAAGAAATAGAGAAGAGTCAGCAAAAAATTGAGAAGGACTTATCAATGAGCTAGGAAAAAAACCTCAGAAGACTGTTCTCCTTGATGCCAATGAAGAAAGTGTTTCAAAAAATCGTATTTCTCTATGTTCTCACAGCAGAAGCTTAAAAAGTTGATCTCTTAAAAGACAGAATAGTGATTATCAAGAAGCTGGGAAGAGTAGGAGTGAGCAGAGAGACGGTTGGCTAATAGGTATAGAGATATCCTTGCATAGGAGGAATAACTTCTAAGATTCTATAGCACCATGGGGTAACTGATTGCTAACAGTTAATTGTATACTTCAAAATAGCTACTAGAGAAGATTTTGAATGTTTCACCAACACAAAATTACATGTGTTTGAGATGATTACCTGATCATTTATATTGAAACATCATATTGTGTCTATAAATATGTATAATTTGTGGACTATTTTGTGAGTGAATAATAAAACCATAAACTTCAAACCTCAAAAAGGGAGTATTTAATGGCATGGAATGTTACTTGTGTTACTGGAAGAAAAGAAGCTTTGGCTGCTTTGAAGTAAATGTGACAACTTTCCCAATGGCAACTTACAAATTAGAGACCTCTCTGTTTTCAAATTAGTGCTCCAAATCACTCCATTTTTTGAGTGGTTAATTGAGTCTCACAGGGACTTTTCTGCCCCGTATAGCTTTGAACCACAATCTTCAGATCTCATCCTCCTGGAGTAGCTAGGATTACAGGCGTGAGCCACTAGCACCCAACTCACCAAAGAATTATTACCAGATCAATGAAGTGGTGCTGTGGCTCAAGTGGTAGAGTGCTAGCCTTGAGCTGAAGAGAAGAGGGACAGCTTTCAGGCCCAGAGTTCAGGCCCCAGGACCAGAAAAAAAAATTAGATACCTAAGGGCCAAGCAGAGGCCTCTTTCCTTTTGGAGACTTCTCTGAAATATCGGTGGTCATTGATCTGGCTCACACCTGTAACCCTAACTACTCCAGGAGGATAAGAGCTGAAGACTGTGGTTCAAAGCTATCTGGGCAGAAAAGTCCCTGTGAGACTCTTATCTCCAATTAACCACTCAAAAAATGGAAGTGGCATTGTTACTCAAAGTGGTAGAGCATTAGCCTTGAGCAAAAGAGCTCAAGAACAGCACCCAGGCCCTGAATTCAAGTCCCACAACTGCCAAAAAAGAATTCACTAAATACTCATTCACCAGCATGAATATTTTTTTCTAAAATAATGTTTCATGAGGAAAATATATTTTCCCATAAGTATGTTTATTGTTCAATTATGATCCCCGGGTTCTTTTTTTCCCCCCTTATTTGTTAAACTTTAAAAAAAATTGACTTAAGGTTAGATAAGTGACTGCACAGTAAAAGAGAGTTTTAGTTATTTGAAAAATCTGCTTTGAGGACTATGCACACAACAGAACTAAATAAGAATTGCTATTTTGTTTCCCTACAAAAGATATGAAAAGATAGGAATTTTGGTTTATTATTGCAGTTTTACAAAGAATGCTTTCTGTACCTAGTATTTTTGTGAAATTGTTGTCGGTCCTTCCCCTTCCTTCCTTCCTTCCTTCCTTCCTTCCTTCCTTCCTTCCTTCCTTCCTTCCTTCCTTCCTTCTTTCCCCAAGAACAGGATTCAAACTTGGTATTTGATGCTTTCTCTCATTGGCTGATGCTCTACCACCTGAGCCAAGCCTCCAACCCCAAATTGTTGGCTTTCTAAATATTAAGTTCATGTTTAATATTGAAATTTGTATTAAATTTCTGATATTTTATTTTCTTTTATAGCATACATTTTCCTTTCTTTTGGTTTTGGAATTGGCCTGGAAAGAATCCAATAAACTTATACTCCTATGATTTTTATTAACATAGTAATATGGTTTTCTGAACAAAAAAATCTCTAAAATGGGAATTATGTGCTAAAGATATCTTTTTAATTCATATTATCTTTCCATTATAGGATGGCTTACATAAGGAGCCTATATTTTGATCATGTAACAATTCAGTTTCTAACAAAGATGGAATGTTTTTATTTTACTTTTTGTGTATGTATGGGGCTTGAACTCAGTCTGGGCACTGTCCCTAAGTTCTTTTGCTCAACGCTAGCACTCTACCACTTTGAGCCACAGTGCCACTTCTGGTTTTTCAGTAGTTTATTGGAGGTAAGAATCTCATGAGGACTTTTCTGCCTGGGCTGGTTTTGAAAGCAGTCCTCAGACCTCAGCCTCCTGAGTAGCTAGGATTTAAGCTTGAGCCACCAGTGCCCAGCTGTTATTAAATTTTTTTAAATTTTATTTTATTTGTGAACATACTGTACAGAGGGGACTCACATTTAACAAAGCAGTTTATGAATGCATCTTAATCAGTGTCACCAACTTCAACATTCTCAATCCTCCTTCAACCCACTCCTTCCCTTACTTTTCTTAATTTTGTGGTATATGCAATTAAGTCTTGAGATGGATTGTGTTTTATAAAAGATATTGGATTGACATTAATGCTTTGTTTTCATATATATATATATAGGGTGTCTTTCCAAGGAACATAATAGTACACATGAATCAAAGCTCACATTTAACTATATAACAGGATAACACACTTATTCAGCTTGCCAGAAGAGTATTAGCTTATTTTTTTTTCTGGTCCTGAGGCTTGAACTCTGGGCCCTGGGCAGTGTCCCTGAGTTTCTTTTTACTAAAGGTGAGCTCTCTATCACTTGAGTCACAGCACTACTTCTGGCTTTTTTGAGTAGTTTATTGGAGATTATAGTCTCATGGAATTTCCTGCCCAGGCTGGCTTTGAGCCATGATCCTTAGATCTCAGCCTCTTGAGCAGAGCTGAAATTTTAAATCAAAGTCCTTCATTTCTTCTGCTTTATTTTACAAATGAGCTTTATGGCTTTGGAAAATCACTGAACCACTTTGCTTCCTGATTTCCTCTATGGTAATATTTAGATTCCAGTTTCTGTCTTTTCAAGGTTGTGGCATTTAAATGATAGAAAAGTCTCTAAAACTTCATTGAAAAGACAAAAAGGGGGAAAAGATGTAAAAGTTTTCCTTAACTTTCGAGTATATCTAGCCAAAGTATAACTTAGAAAGATGAAATTGAAGATCGTTCTAGACAGTAGTAGAATCACTGAGGTGATTTGTATTTTCTGTGATTTAATATTCATGGATGAACAGGGTTCTTGAGTCTTTTTGTTTTTTTTGTTTTGTTTTTTTTTGGGGGGGTCCGGTCGTGGGGCCTGAACTCTGGGCCTGGGCGCTGTCCCTCAGCTCTTTAGCTCAAGGCGAGTGCTCTACCACTTGAACCACAGCGCCACTTCCGGCTTTTTTATATTTTCTGCTTATGTGGTGCTGAGGAATCGAACCCAGCGCCTCAGGCATGCAAGGCAAGCGCTCTACCACTGAGCCACCTTCCCAGCCTCTCTTGAGTCTTTTTAAACAAAGTGCAAAAATATGA